AGAGGGAGAGAGAGGGAGAGAGAGAGAGAGAGAGATATGAGTGGTTTGGGGATTGAAAGATAAAGCTGAACATTTTTAAGCCTAATACAGAAGTAAAAGTTGTGTATTGATGACATGTAACAGTATCAGTTATATGAATAAAGATTTTGATGAATTAGTTTAAAGAGAAATTAAAAAAAATAACACTGAATATGTTGATAGCTTACCACATTCTTTTTTCTGCAATGCACATTAGGAAGTTTGTAATTTGTTGTTCAGTGTAAGCTTCATATTAAAATCTTTGTGTAATTCCAAATTAAATAATAATGTTTGTATGAGTGTGTTCTTGTGTTGTTAGATAGTGATGTCTCCATAAATACTATTTTTTTAAAATATACTCGCTTACATCTGTTTTTGTTAAAATTCATCCTTTACTAAATTTTTAGAAGACTTTATGATGAACAGAAACAGTTCAGAATATGAGCTACCAAACTGTTTATTTGGGGAATTTAAAGAGGCTAATCAATCCAGCCACCCAATACAGGGAAACAGAAGACAAGACACTCACTACTTGTCAACATAGTGCAATTCAAATGGTTCATTAGAACATGTGCATTGTTTACTCAATTAATGCATACCATTTTTTTTAGACACTAACATGTTATCCTTGGTCAAAGCATCTATAGAGCATACACAAGTTCTTTTATCTTTAAGTACATGTGTATTTAGAATGCATACTTAATGTTTATATCAAAGGGAAATACATAATATAGGAAGGAAAGACAATTTTCTTGGTGAAGCTTAAAATATTTCAGCTAATCCATGACATTATCAGTAGTGTATCATGTACCTAAACATACAATTTCCTATCATAGCACAAAGAGTATCATGCATAGAAAAAATGAGACAAAATGACCTATTCATAATGGGCAGGTGTGTTGTACAGCACTATTCAAATCCATGGATTGAAGAAAAAAGGAATAATAATAATAATAATAATAATTAAAAAATGCTTGCTGAGAACTAAGGATGGCAAGTATTAAAAATAAGTTATAAAAATTTATCCAAGGTTCTACTACAGTAAAATGCAAACAGCTAAGACTGCAAGCTGTAATAGCAAATGTCACCCTTTTGTATACAAGATGAAAGAAAGCCATTCACATGATGATGAAAGAAAGCCATTCCTATGCTGATGAAAGAAAGCCATTCACATAAGGGCTCATCATGTGTACACTAACAAATGCATGTATACAGAATCTTCAACATCAGTTTCATGTGAAGGACCTTAGATTCCACAATTTGAAAAAAAAAAGACATTTAGCAATATCATTATACACATAGAAATATCATGGCAGTTCCTTTCAGTCATCCATTTAAGATGAGGCCGTTGTGTTGTAATAAAGTACTGTGACATCTTTCATGATGTATCACATCCTTTCAGCTATAAAGGGTACACCTCATTACTAATGAGGTAATCTTAACTTAACATCAGTTCTAAAAATTCAACAAAAGCAATGCTTCCTGTGAGACATTTTTGATCTAATATATTCTGAACATCAATGGTATACCAGCATTACAGTTCACATCATAACCATGAAAACATCAAATGACACAGGATAATTCAAACTAAGTAGACTTAACATATCATGTTATGTTTAAAAACAATTGTATATATTTCAGGACAAAGAGAGCAGTATCAACCTAATCAAACTGTTTGTCCACACACTGTCACATCTGCTACATCAGGTTAAAAGAAAGTGTGGGCAAATTGAATATCAAATAATAATATCCAAATAACTTTAGCTTTGGAATAAAGAAAACTGTACTTCATCCTTCTAATAATCGTCTTTACTCTCACCTTTCAAATGCCCTAACTGTAATCATCAACCTAAAAAATCAAGCAGAATATACTAAGCATACAATATACCTAATCAATTATACATAACTCTGATATTCATATAATGACCTAAAATATAGTACCTATATGCAATGAAGATTAATGCATGAAAGAAGTAGTTGGACATGAACACAAGTTGTACCTATCTTGACAGAGACAGCTTCTAAATAATAAACCTAACACTAAGTAACACTTTCTTGTGCCTTACATCAAGGCTCCTCCTGCGACAAAGTTGCTTGACAAAGGCTGAGTGAATGTGTGGGATCGAGGGCGTCCACCTCGTCCTCCGCGGAAGGGAGGGCGTCGCCTGCCCCGCCAAGAACCTCCTCCTTTGGGCTTGCGGCCACTCAGCTTGTCCTGGTGTTTCTTGGAGGACAAATGCTGTGGGAGCAGCCAAAAGCAACCTTGTCATTATCTCAGATTTTGTGGAAATGGAAAGGTAGGGCACTGGGAAGAACAATGAATATATGAGACAGAAAGAAAGAAAGAGAAAAGGTGAGAGAACTTACCCATATCCAGGAGTGTGGCTCTAAGTAGAAGGCCAATTTTGCTGATAACAAAATACAAGCAAAGCTGATATCTTGCTTTACAATAGTGTCACTAAACATCAGAACCAAATAAAAATGAATAACACTTCTATCCCTTTGGAGAACATATCAATTCTGGGAGCAGAGATAGATGGTTATGCTCAGGTTTGATAAACAAATCTGCTAGGTTCACTTCTATAAATTATCATCATCTCTTCAGTGCATTTCTGACCACTTGTACATTAGAGATCTTGAAACAAAATTAAATTTCACCCACACCGAGTATGAATTGGCGCAGAATTAAGAAGCATACCTGACAAAACCAGACTTGCACTCAGACAGCAGCCACTACTAGAGCCTTTAGAACAATGGTATTAATGTTAGACCTATTGAGGTATTCCACAAGGCACAACACCTACCCCATCCCAGCTGAACCATAACAAATATAAGAATGGCACTCTAAGCAGCTCCTGCTGGAAGTGGTGATGTCTAACCCTAAGTCCCTGTGATCATTCAGTACAGCTGAGGCAAAATGTGAAACCCTTTCCTCTCACTGATGCCTAATCAACAGGTACTAAGACGGAAGCACACCATAACAGTACTGTGTATGCTAGGTTATACACAGTGGTGGTACATCAGCTCACTAAATAGGAGGGAGAGAGGGAAAGAGGGAGGGAGGGAGGGAGGGAGGGAGGGAGAAAAAGAGAGG